CATACGATAGATCACTCTGTCTCACAAGATACACTAAAAAACCTTGTAGGAGTAACAGGAATAGCTCTTTCCAGGTTTAGGTCTTACCTGACCGATCACTATCAGTTTGTAAATGTAACGGTGAATCATCTCTTCTTACAAAAGTACAGTATGGTGTTCCGCAAGGCTCTATTTTAGGACTCTTATTATTCACATTATACATGCTACCACTGGGTAACATTATCAGTAAACACGGCATCAATTTCCAGTGCTATGCTGATGACACACAATTGTATATATTGATTAAACCAGATGATAAACCTCGACTTAATAAAAATGAGTACTGTGTAAAAGACATAAAAGATTGGATGTCAAATAACGTCCTCCTATTCAACTCAGACAAAACAGAGGTTCTTGTTCTTGGTCCAAAAGCTGCTAGAAACAAACTGTCTAATTTAACGCTTAAACTTTATAGTTTCTCAATTGTGTCAGGAACATCTGTAAAAAACCTTGGTGACACAATAGATCCCGATTTGTCCTTTGATATGCATATAACCAATATTACTAGAATAGTTCTCCGCAATATTGCTAAATTAAGAAATGCATTGTTTCTACAGGATGCAGAAAAGCTAGTTCATGCATTAATTACCTCAAGGCTGGATTACTGTAATGCCCTGCTGGCTGGATGTTCTAGCAAAAGCCTTAACGAGCTTCAGTTAGTCCAGAATGCTGCTGCCAGAGTCCTCACAAGAATGAGAAAGTTTGAGCATATCAGCCCAGTTTTATCAAACCTACATTGGCTGCCAGTTAAATTCCGTATTGAGTACAAAATTCTTTTACTGACCTATAAGGCATTAAATGGCCTCGCACCTCAGTACCTGAGTATGAACCATCACGCCTACTTAGATCACAGCGTTCTGGCTTACTATTAGTGCCTAGAATTAATCTTCAGGGGGTAGAGCCTTTTCATACAAAGCCCCCCAGCTTTGAAATAATCTTCAAGTCAGTGTTCAGGACCTCAGTTTTTAAGTCTGTTTAGCCAAGCTTTTGGTAATTAATGTTTCCTGTTAGTTAAAGGGTGCAGTTCTCGGGGGTTCATTGACATAGAGTACTGCGGTGACTCTGGAGTGTTGGTGCTGTTGTCCTGCTGCTCTCACGCCTTCACTGTAGTACTAACACTGTTAGAGCTTGGCCTGTCAGAGCCTCTGTTTCACTCTCTTAACACTGTATACTGTAATCAGTCTGTCTTAACAGAAATAACTGCCTGTGTGTTTTTCTGCCGAGCTGAACAACTGCCCATCCTGTGTGGTCTGATGCTGTTGCTTCATCTGCCTTGATCGGGTACCCACTGCTCGCCTGTTTCCCAGACCAGTCTGAACACCATGGAGCTTCCTCCTGCATCCAACACTGTGCAAACCTCACCTGCATGAACTGACCCTCCTGATGATGATGCTGCATTTTTTTTTATCAATAACATGACTACTCCTGGTTTTCCTTTCTTTCTGTATCTTATATTAATGGTCAAATCTCATTTTCTGCTGTTATTGTTTGCTATCTGGAGTCAACCAGAGGAGGATGGGTTCCCCTTTTGAGTCTTGGTTCCTCTCAAGGTTTCTTCCTCTTGCCACTTTTGCCACTGGCTTGCTCACTAGGGGCTTGGACCTGGATTTTTTTATTCTGTAAAGCTGTTTTGTGACAACACCTGTTCTAAAAAGCGCTATATAAATAAACTTTGACTTAGCTTGACTTGATAATCAAACTGCTTGAACACACCTTTACTGACCAACAAAGGAAACAAATCGTTTTTAATCGCTATTTATTTTTATCAACAAGATGTAGCCGCAGACGGCGACACTGGTTGGGAGCTCTGTCGTGTTTCGTTTGTTTTTGCTTTGAATTACCCCTTAATTAGGCTAATTTATTAAAATAAATGATTGAACATTCTATTTTGTTGCTACCAACACAACAAAAATGCCTCTGAAATGTTACTAAATGTTCCAGTAGTTACTGTTTTAGTAAAGACATGAAAAGGGACAGCTGTTTCATTTTTTAAATAAACTTGCAATTTATTGTTTGTGACTTGTTTGTCACAGTGTGCTACATTAGATTCATGGATATTTTGTGACAAACCTAGTAATAATACATTAATAACATGTAATAATTCAGTTATTTTCATGAATATTGCCCCCAGTGGCCAAATCTGTTGAAACTTCAAAGATTTTTAGCAAGTGGCTAAATATAGACACCATCCAAGTTTCATGATGATTGGTCAATGTTAAGCCTGTCAAAAGCCTGCTAAATTCTGATTGGCCGATGGCGACCATAAATTTCAATGTATCAAAATATCCTTAGAGCTTCATTTATTGTCTGTCTAATAGATGCTGCATGCAAAGTCTCAGCTTGATCGGATGTATGGATGCTGAGAAACAGCGATGTAGCATTAACTCCGCCCCCTAATGACATATGCGAACAAAAATCGAAAGGCTAACTCAGAACTGCCTAGCAAATAAATCTGTCTAGTTTCAAATTTTTTGACAGAAGGTTCTCGAGTTACAGAATTTTAAATTAATTATATTATTTTAAATAATTATATTATTTTAAATCATTTTTTAGAAGGGTTCATTAGCATATGGTAGCCATATTGTTTGGAAAAGTCAACATTTTTTGATAATTATTGAGTTTCAGGCTCTTCTGAATTTTTTGACACAAAATACATGAGGATCAGGCAAAAACTGTAGGACTAGTTCGCAAAAATAGGTTTCGCATATTGCACAAATTGGCAAAAAATCTTTGGGGGTGGAGCTAAACAGCCCAAATGGCAAAGTTGTTTGATTGGACCCAAGGAATCAGGAAAAAATTTAAATTTGTCTGTAAAAATTTTGTTTTAGGAGTTATTCGGCAAAACGAATTTTTCTGTGCTATAGTGCCCCCTTTAGGCCGATTGGGCTGATGTCGTGCGCCTGAGTAGCAGGACAGACTACTGACCAAGTTTCATGTCTCTAGGACCTATGGTTTGGTCTGGGTGATTCATTTTAGGGCAGAAAAATAGTAAGAAAAACTCCACTGCGTGCTTGAACGCTAATAATAAAAATCCTAGCAAAAGTAATAGGGTTACATGCACCTAAAGGTGCTTGGACCCCTAATTAGTTTATCAAATCAAAAAAAAAAAATCAGTGAGCCACCAAGTTACTTCATGTGGCTGAACTCTCCTGTCCCACCTGAAAAGGATTTCTATAATTTAAAGAAAAAGCCTAAGACATTGAAAAAAACTGGGGAAATTTTTTTCACTTTTATGCCATCTTCCACAGCTCAGGCTACTTAATGTGATGACTGGTATATGCTACTACAAGCAACCTTGTAATTGACAAAAAATGTTATTTTTACTTGTTTATGCATGGGTACATAACACCCAACACCCAGGGGTGCAAATGTGGTGTGGAAGCTATAGCTTACATACAGCAATTCGCCCCCTATTTGCCAATCAGGATCAAATTTTGCAAGCCACATCAGAGTCTCAATTTATAGAGACCTGTACACTTCTGCGATGATCGGACCAATGACTGAAGAGCTATAGCAATCAAAGCTAGCAATGCTATGGCCGCAATGATTAAGCCCTGGAGGGAGACCACAATGAGCAAAAAATGGAAAATGTGCTGGATAATTATTTACCTAGAGAGGCTACAGAGTATTTCTAGACCAGTTTTGAGAAGTTAGCTTAAAATTCCACGGGCTAGTTCGAAAAGTGCTATTTTCAAACAATTAACAACTGAAAAAAACCTAAGTACTTTTTTAATAATATATAATGACAAAAGTGTTTGGAACACTGCACTGCATAAGAACATCTGAGTTAATTGACCAAAAATGAAAATCTGTATAAGATATACTTGATTTTCATTAATAGCACCCCCCAGTGGCCAAATATTTTGAAACTTCACAGGTTGTTAGACGGTGGTGAGATAGAGATAGCTGTCAAGTATCATGATGATTGGCCAATGGTAAGCCTGTCAAATGGCTGCTGAGAGCTTATTGGCCGATGGTGGCCATAAATTGAAATATATCGAAGTGTCCTTAATGCGTCACTTATAGTCTTACTAGTAGATGGTACTTGCAAAGTTTCAACTTAATAGAATGTACGGATGCTGAGAAACAGCTATTTAGGCATATTAAGCATTTACAGTGCCCCCTAATGACCTATGTGCACAAAAAAAGATAGGCTACTTCAGAGTCTCATTAGGAATAAGGCTGTCAAGTTTCAAATTTTTTCGGTGAAGGATTCTTGAGTTCTAGATTTTTTTAATTAAATAAGAATTATTTTGAATTTTCCAGAGGGATTAATTTGCATATGGCAGCCATACTGTTCACAAAATTAAAAATGTGCTGGATAATTATTGAGGTTCAGGCTATGCTGAATTTTTTGACACCAAAAACATGAGGATAGGATGAAAACTGTAGGACTAGTTCACAAACGTTGTTTTTGCTTATTATGCAAATTAGCAAAAAATCTAAGTAGGTGGAGCTTAATGGTCCGAATTACAAAGCTGTTTGGTTGGACCCAAGGAATCAGGAAAAAAATATCTGTCAAAAATCTGGGGAAGGAGTTACAGGGCCAAACACGTTGTGTTGCGTAACAGCGCCACCTTTAGGCCGATTGGGCTCATGTCGCGCGCCTGAGTAGCGGGAGGGACTACTATCTATTGACCAAGTTTCATGTCTCTAGGACTTACGGTTTGGTCTGGGCGATTCATTTTATCGGAGAAAAAGAATAATAATAATAAGAAGAAGAAGAAGAAGAAAAACTCTAACAATAACAATAGGGTCCTACGCACTTGCGTGCTTGGACCCTAATTAATTTTAAGAATTAACCAATCCACAATAATTTCACAACTGTGTATCCCTAATGGTAACAAGATAATCATCACCTTAATCAGTTAGGTAAAGAAGAAAGATCTAGAAAATGAATTTTAACATGTAATAATGTGCTTGTCACAAATACAGCAATACAAGTACACAGTGTGCGTTACCTGTGAGCCTTTCTTGCTGCCAGGCAGATTAATGATGAGAGTTTTGCCTCTGATTCCACACACAGGTCTAAGGGAAGGTAGAGATGTGATTAGTATTGAAAGTGTTCCAGAAAATATGTGTGTATGTGTGTGTGTGTGTGTGTGTGTGTGTTCACCTGGACAGCATGCCAAGCGGTGTGACATTTAGGGAGCCCATGAGCATGGCCAAAGCCATCCCTGGAGCTTCACGCTCAATCACCTCCCTAGTGGCCTGCATAGGAGAGAGAGAGAACACACATACACATAATCACTACACTAAGTACACAACTGTACTTAAACTCATTTTACAATAACATTTTTTTCCTAAATGGACTAATTTTACAGCACAAAACACTCAACGTAAAGCAGTAATGCCAAATGTATAAGTTTCTCTTGCTTCACAATCCCAGAGCTTTGATGTCATTTTTTGCTGTTCAGAAACCAAGCTTATGTCATGCGCAACACATTATCTCCCAATTAGCTGCACACACACACACACACACACACACACACACACACACACACACAGTAAGAATAAAATAAAGCATGCAGCAGGGTTAAAATAACCTGATAAAATATGAGATGACCAAAGCGATTCAAATGACCAGGTAAAGTATGGAGATCTTGAAGAGGGTCAGAATAGCCAAGGGCTGATCTTGAAAAGGGTCAAACAAAAGATAAAGTAGGGTGACCTTGGAGGGGTTAAAAGTGACCACATAAAGAATGGGGAGATCTTAAAGAGGGTCAGAATGTCCTGTTAAAGTACAGGGTCACCTTGAAGCACAGTGATATATTTTTGCCATATTGCCCACCTCTACCCTGAAGGGGGTCAGAATGGATAGAAAAGACATGGAGCGATTTTAAATGGGTTCAGAATGACCAGATGAATTATGGGCTGATTTTGAAGGGGTTCAGAATGACTGGGCAAAGTTTGGGGTGATCTTCAAGAGGTTCAGAATGACAAGATACAGAGGTGATCGTGAAGAGGATCAAAATAACCAGTTAAAACACAGGGTGACCTTGAAGAAGTTCAAAATAGCCAGACACAATACGGGGCGATCTTGAAAGGGTTCAGAATAACCAGATCAAGCATGGGGAGATCTTGCAGGAGTTCAGAATGACCGAATAAAATACAGTCTGATCTTGAAGAAAAGTCAGACTGGCCACATAAAGTATGGGGAACTCATGAAGAGGTTCAGAATGACCAAATATAGTATAGGGCTATTTTGAAGAGATATTTATTTTTTGACACCACATAATGCTAGACAGCAGACTTCTACCACATCACTAACACCATATAATATTTTTTTTAAACAATTTTTGATACGACAAAGACACACAGAAGCATGCACTGCTTTATTTACTAGGGATGCATTGATTTCAGCTGAAGAAGTCAAAAATGGAACCTTTCATTTTCAGCCAAAAGAAACAAAAAGGTCCATCACTAATATTTCGGTGCATCACAATATCTATGCAGGTTATCCCTCACCATGGAGACAGTCTCAAGGTCTCCCTCTGCGCACACACAGACTCAGCACAGAGATGACCCATGTACACTCACTCACATGGACAAGAACACAAACGGGTGGGGGTAACATGTACCTCTGGTGTGACATCACGGGGAGCAAAGCCAGTTCCACCTGTGGTCAGAATAAGGTTGAGTTCTTTCTCGTCACACCAGTCCACCAGCGTCTCCTAAACATACACAGAGTGAGATTTTTTTTGTTTGAGCAAATAAATACTTTAAAAAGTAATATGTACTGTGGAACATATGTTTCATAAGTGGGGCAAAGCACTAGAACCACTAGCGGTGAGTAATGTGGCAAAAAATGACATTTTCACAATACACAATATGCATCATGACATCCTTTTTCTGAGGTTCGATAAGTGGAACAGATAAAAAAGCAGTAGTATCACATTGTCATGAGCTATGAATGCAATGATTTTGCTTAAGATTTCACATTCTGCACTGCTAAATCCAATCAAACAGGCCTAATATTGCTAATTTTGAACAGAAATATGCAGATGTTCAATGGTATTTAAGTACTGACAATTTCCTCAATATGCTCAGAAAGATCAGTAGAATGTCAAACATTTTATCACAATAAAGTTGCTGATAATTCTGTATTACATTTAATATGCCCCTAAAAATCCTTTGATAGTTTACCAATGCTTGCCAAGAGAACCCCGTTGGTTAAATTCAAATCACCACAGAATTAAATAAATCATAAAGAAGCAAAGTTCAAATAAAGCTTATTTTTATTTCATTGATTAGGAAGAAAAATAAATTCATACCAAAACTGTACATGTGGGATTGTTAGAAATAGAGATAGACAGATAGAGGAAAAAAAAACTGGCTGGGCCATGGCTTGGGTATATAAATGATGTGTTCTTATTTTTTAGATGTAGTAAGAACTGTGTTGCGTTCTATATGATCCTGTGTAAATGTGACAAGCAAACAATGCATAGCAAGAGCCTAATTGAAAGACCTATGCAAGTTCAAGCCTGATTTTTTTTTTAAACTATTAATCTCAAAATTAAGAGAGTATTATACTATTAGAACAAATACACGTAATGTTAGAACAAATAAAATCAAAATATGCGTAGTAAAACGTATTAAGGATTTCTTGTTTTGAAAAGTTATTAATATCTTAGAAGAACACAAGTTTGATCCCTAACTTATTGCTTTGTTGTTTCGCCTTGTTCAATTACATCACCAGAACACCTGGTTTGTTTTAATAAAGGATTGACTAATGAAATATAGTCATAAGGAAACTTTTGAACACCACTCACTTTGAACAACTGACATGCTTTGCTGATTTTATAAGCATACATTCTCCACAGGAAACAAACCAAAGAAAACGTGAAATGAAAATGAAATGAACCTTTTAGCCTACTGTGTCTGAACACATCGGAATTAGACCTCTGCATTTAACCCATGCATGCAGTGAAACACCACATACACACTAGTGAACACACACACACTAGGGGGCAGTGAGCACACTTGCCCGGAGAGGTGGGCAGCCCTATCCACGGCAGCCGGGGAGCAGTTGGGGGTTAGGTGCCTTGCTCAAGGGCACTTCAGTCACGTACTGTCAGCTGAGGGGATCAAACCGGCAACCTTCCAGTCACAAGGCTGGTTCCCTAGCCTCCAGCCCACGACTGCCCCATTAAAATGTATTAGAAAATAAATACATAAATAAATAAACAAACAAACAAACTGTGCCATAACTTTGGCACAGGCCACATTTCATGTTTGATTTTTTCTCCCAATATGTAAAATCCAGCAAATAAACAGTAATTGTGCATTTAAACGTGCGAAAGTGTGTTCTCTGTAGAGGAAATCAACAAAAAATGTAAGGTGGAGCCCTTTTGTATGTGACTGTAAGCGCTGGATGCTAAGCACTGGGCTACCTTGAGAAGAAATCTGAGTTACTGACAGGTACAAAAACACAATGTACTGCTTATTTGTATTTATTCTGTTAGTTAAACTAAATGCTTACTGCCCATTTAGGTAACTTTACATGTAAATGACCTAAATACTGGGCTACCTTGAGAAGAAATCTGAGTTACTGACAGGTACAAAAACACAATGTACTGCTTATTTGTATTTATTCTGTTAGTTAAACTAAATGCTACTGCCCAGTTAGGTAACTTTACATATAAATGACCTAAAACCTTTGCAAAGTACAGTATGTTAATTAGACTCCATGTTAATTAGCAGTAAGATCCAAGATTGTTATTGACCAATTTTGTAACATTTTGTGACATGTTTAACTAGATGCAGTGATGAGAACCATGGAGTGGCAAAGAGAAAGTGCCCACCAGGTGGCAGTGGTTATTGTGAAAAGTAATGTTGTTAGTCTTCACACCTATGAGAGAATAAGCATGATTGTAAGTCTGTGTGTGTGCGTGTTTGTGTGTGTGGTGGCCTCGTGGGAGAGAGGTTTACCTTGATCTCGTCTGTCTCATCAGGGACTATTTTGTATGCAGAGATTATGCCTCCAAGCCTGTAAGAGATACAAACACACACATACCAACAATGACTGTTAGCGTGTTTTCAGTAACATTAACAGGGAGAGAGAGATATAACAGAATCAGTAAGAGAGGGAAAAGAATCCGAGCACAGAGAACAGTGCCAGAGGTATCAGAAACCTGTCAGAGTGTATACACGTACACTCGCCGTCCTCTCTGCAAATCAGATCAGAATTCAGGTCTGAACGGCCGAGCATTTTTCCTCTTTCAACAGCTCCTCAGTCCTGCTTTGCTCTTTTTACAGTGTATCTTTGCCATGTTTTGGACCTTTCATGGCACTTCAGGTATAAAAGGCCAGATAAAAAAAAAAAAACCTGGCAGTAATGGTGTTATGCCGCACAAAATATGCTGCACTGTACACAAGACCTATTCATAAAGTTGCCATGGTGGTGATTAGCGCATTGCTGTCTTTTTAACGCTGTGGTAGTTCCACCTGTGTCCAAGGCAAGAGCCAATCAAAATCGACATGTAAATGAGGTCAGTCCCATGCCATGTGAAGCACTGGTCAGCTGTCAAAATGGATTCAATGAAAGAAAGAAAACAAAGGCTGTTTCCAGAAACCCTAAAAGTTACTGCTTTTTTCCCTGCCGATCCTCTTCCTGTCCTCTGTGACCCGGAAACCATTTTCATGATGCATTCCTACCGGCTGTCTGAATACTGGAGGAGATGAGAGATGCCACTTAAAATACCGAAGCGTTTTTTTTTTTTTTTGCAAAAAAACATACATACACGAACAGAAGTAACAGTAGGATACATAACAGCTCAACATTCACATACCAGAATAAAAAAAAAAAAAAAAGAACACCATTGGGACTGAAATAAAACTGAAAAGCTTTAACACAGCAATGGATTTACGACATTTCTTATTTTGCTGCTGGTGCAAATTCACTTATGTAGATATGTAATTACATAGATCCGTGCATGCAGAGGTCATGCGTGAAGGTATTTTTCTGGCAAATTTCATCTTATGTATATAAAATGTAGCTATTATTATGATCAAGTTTATTATAATGTGCTCCTCAGGGTTGAACAGAGGGTCATCAAAAAGTTATAAAACATAGTGGCCTTTGGGAGAAATTTTTTTACCAAGTTTAAAAAGAGGTCAACCCAGAATGAGTATGAAAATACACAATAGAAAATTAGGTGTTCAATGGATTCTGTAGCCCCTTTACAAAAAATACATGCATCACTCACACTGAAAAATTTATTACAGGTACCATTGACTGGGTAGCATCTATGCAATATTTTATAAAGCAGTTCTTTCATTTTGTTATTAAGAACATATTTATATAGGAGAGTCCAAATTGAACAGCTATTTTGCCTTTGTTAAGCTGACCACTGGAATGTTACCCTTGGAATGGATTTATGAGATAAAAGCTGTCTTATAAATTGTTACACTTCTTATAGACTGTGTCAACCCCATTAACAGAAATTACACGTATAACCTTGTGATTATTTCTACGTAAAGAGAAAAGACCATCAGGGATAGAGTCACATACCCTCTTAAATTCTGTATTTGAACTAATTTTACCAAATTTGTTGTAAAAGTCAAAGTAAGAAACAAAACGATTATAATCTAGTAACTGGTTAAACAACAAATTAATAAACATCATGTTTGTAAATTTAATAATAATAATAATAATAATAATAATAATAATAAAAATTTTATTTATATAGCACTTTTCATGCCGGTGGCAGCTCAAAGTGCTTTACAGACAGGTGATAAAACATAGTTACAGAAGAGATCATTAGTACTTAATTAGAATCAGAAGAAAATGAAGAAGATTAAATTACAAGATAAACACCACGAGACATTCAGTTTTAGTTAAATGCTAATTTAAAGAGATACGTTTTTAGGTGCTTCTTAAAAGTGAGCTCTGAGCTTGACTGTCTAATAAAAGGTGGAATTGAGTTCCACAGTTTAGAAGAATAACTGAAAGAGGCCTCTCCATGTTTTCTGTCTTTTACAGAGGGTATCTGTAGAAGGCCACTATCTGCAGATCTTAGATTACGTGCCGGAACATAAACAGACAGACACTCTGTGATGTAAGCAGGTGCCAGGTTGTTTTGAGCTTTAAAGACTGGTAGCAGAACCTTGAAATCTATCCTGAATGATACAGGTAGCCAGTGCAGTTCTTTTAAAACAGGAGTGATATGATCTCTCTTTTTTGTTTTTGTTAGGATGCGCGCTGCTGCATTTTGTAGAAGTTGTAAGGGATGTGTAGTTTTCTTAGGAAGTCCAGCAAGAAGAGCACTACAGTAGTCAAGTCTGCTTGTAACAAATGCATGAACAAGTTTCTCTGCATCACTCTGAGATAGAAAAGGCCGAACTTTAGCGATATTTCTTAAATGATAAAAAGCTACTTTAGTGACCGTGTTTACATGTGGGGTAAAACAGAGCTCAGAGTCTAAGATCACACCCAGGTTTCGTACTTCAGGTTTGGTAGATGAAGCTAAAGAACAAAGTTTCTCAAATATCATTTTTCTCTGCGTTTCTGTACCAACAATCAGTAATTCAGTTTTTTCATGATATAATTGCAGAAAATTTTGTGACATCCACTGAGAAATATCTGACACACAGCTGGTTAGTCTGTCTACAGAGTCTTGATCTTCAGAAGGAATAGAAATGTATAACTCGGTGTTGTCAGCATAGCTATGAAAATTTATACTATGTTTCCTAATAACATCACCTAGAGGTAGCATGTACAAAGAGAAAAGCAAAGGCCCTAAGACTGAACCTTGGGGGACTCCACAAGAAACGGCAAATCGTTTTGATGAATGATTTCCAAGTGAAACCATGAACTGCCTATTACTTAAATATGATTTAAACCATTCTAAAACTGTGCCTCAGAGGCCAACCCAGCATTCAAGACGCTGGAGTAAAATCTTGTGGTCAACGGTATCAAAGGCTGCATTAAGATCTAATAAAACCAAAATAGAAGGATTTTGTGCATCAGCGCTGAGCCTGAGATCATTCATAACGCGAATCAATGCTGTCTCTGTACTGTGGTTAGAACGAAAACCTGACTGAAACTTCTCATATAAATTGTTTGATATTAGTTACGTATTTAGTTGTTTGAAAACAACTTTTTCTAAGACTTTACTTAGAAAAGGTAGATTTGAAATCGGTCTAAAATTATTTAGTATGGAAGAATCCATGCCACTCTTTTTTAGCAGAGGCTTCACCAGGGCAGTTTTGAAAGCATCTGGAAAAACACCTGTTGACAGAGAACAATTTACAATAGTTAAAACATCATTGTGCACACAATCAAAAACCGTCTTAAGGAATGAAGTAGGAACAGGGTCAAGATCACATGTGGATGAACTTGGTTTGTTTAAAATAGTTGTGAGCTCCTCATAGTTGATAACAGAGAAATATGTCATTACTGATGTAGGTGACCTATCAGGAACATTATAGGAGCTTGTTTGAGTCTGCTGAGCTACACCCTTTCGTATCAGGTCTATTTTATTTTGGAAATGAATTGTGAACTCTTCACAGATTTTAGACGATAAATCATCATTAAACGCACTAGCAGACAAGTTAGGGTTAATTAGTCGGTCTATAGTGGAAAAAAGGATTTGGTATTATTTTTGTGTCTATTGATTACACTAGAGAGATATGACTGTCTGGATATTTTCATAGCATTATTATAGACTGAGATCTGCTCTTTGAGTATGTCATAGTGTACGTGCAGTTTAGTTTTCCTCCATCAGCGCTCTGATTTACAACAATGTCTCTTAAGCTGGCGTATTTCCGCATTCATCCATGGATTTTTAAGAGTGTGCGAGCTTTTGTTCCTTTTTTTGGGACGAGAAGGTCAAGGCTTTCCCATAATCTAGCACTTAGATCGGAGACTAGATCATTACAGGATGGAGTCGTATCTGTATTCGCTGAACTATTATAAACAGTTTTAAACTTCTCAACTGTTTCTGAGTCAATGTAACGTTTTTTAAAGTAACTTTCAGGTACTTTCTTCTTTACTTCTAAATTGATTTGAAAGAAAATACAGAAGTGATCTGATAAGAAAACACCCGAGATTTGAGACACCTTTGTTTTTAAACCTTTAGTGATGATCAGATCCAATTCAATAACCAATTCAACAAAGCCTGTCTGTGAAAGGCTGAAATTTCTGAGTAGTCTTAACATCCTAAGGGCAGATAGGCAAAAATTTTAACCCACCAACTTCTCCGAAGAGAAAATTAGGTATACAATCCCACATACTTGCAAAATTTTGGAGGATTTTTCTAATCCAGCTAATTTTAATAGTCTGGTTGTGTGTGGTCCAGAATGTTAAGTCTGCCATCTACTATTCTATTTTTTAACACATCCTTCCTTACTTACTGTGAGATTATTTCTCCAAATGAAATTGAACAACATTTTGTCTAATTGTGCAACAGCTAATTTAGGTTGTTTTGAAAGAAGAAAACACATAAGTAGCTCCAGAGAGCTCCTTTGCTTTATTCAACAGGACACAACCTTAGAGGGATAACTCTCTGCTGTTAACTATGGGAATATAATATAATTTTAATCATTCATATTTTTAATATCTTTAGTCATTTTAATAAGTAAGTGACAATATTTTTGACTGGAATAATACATATGGAGTTAACATCACATTTGTTTAAAGGAAGGAGCTCACATTTTTTGAGATTAAGATCTGAACCTGAGAAGTTTGAAAATGATGTGAACAATGCTAAGAGCTTTAGAAACTTCAAATTTATTATTAAGAAACAATGCCTTGTCATCAGCTATTTGTGAGATTTTGATTTCTATATCACCAAAACTGATGCCTCTAAAAGACTTTCAATTAGCAGGCTAAGAATTTCAGTGGAAAAGAGGGAAAGTAAAAGACTAACTGGACATTCCTGAAATATGCCTCTAGTAACACAAAATCTAAGCGATATGTCATAGGCAAGTTTGAGTGATTTGTACCATTATAAAAGGTTTTAATCATATTAACAAAAGAGTGACCCA